TATTTTCATGTTCAACTACCATTGTTGAATAGATGAATGAAAATAGAGGAGCCGAGAACTTCAAGTGCAAACTTTTCAAAATCTAAATTGGACATATGCATAACAATGTCTTCTTCATCATCAAAGCTCAAATTCAATGTTTGTAATTGGATGCCACTACGGTAGTTTGGACCGTCGTCTGTTTAGTTAACTGAGAAAGAAGGGAATAAAGACAGGAAAACTCGATGAATTAAGCATGGATCAAAGTAAGGAGTCCTAGAACAAGGGTCTCGTAAATAGTAATAAAGACAAAGAAAGAACACTGATGTTTTGTTTAATTTTTGTCCGTTGGACCATGAATTCAAAGATGTTCATGGGAAGTGATGAAAGCTTGAATACGAGACATATCAAGCACAACGAAAATAACACTCACCTCAACAGTACCAATACCCTCAAGGACTTGAACCTTCAGGCTGAGAATTGTTGATTAAAGTTTAGAGTATACAACTCTAAACTTACTAATATTGGACTCAAACAAGTAAACAAATTATTTGTATTATACCTATAATAAAAGACACTACAATTCTTTCTAAAGACTACTCACAATTTAAAGAGAAATAAACACTTAATAGAAAACTCATAACTTGTACTCAAGACACTACACTCAAATTTTTGGAAGATGCATAACCCAAATGCAAGGGGGTATTATAGTCCTCACCATGCAACATACACCATACAAATATTAATTGAGAAATATTCTTAGTCATAATTATTACCACCTACTCCATACAAATATTAAATCGAGAAATATTCATAGCCATACATTATTATCACCTGTCGAAATAATTTTTTTTCGGCAGTGAAGAAAGGAGGTCTCGTTTCAAAATAATTTTTGGGTGACCAATTAGTGATAAAAATGTGGTTCGAGGAGTCGCCACCAATTTTTTATTAGGGTGTTATTGGACACCCAAAAATGTATTTTCCATTTTAATAAAATTTTAATTAAAACGACAAACTTACGGTTTGCGTTATGGTAAGCTTTGCTCATTTTCAGGTTGCCCTAACACTCCAAGTCTGAGACTCACTCTCAATGTCTTCTGATCTCAACCTTGTAATCTCCATGTGATCTGGGCTTTTGGTAATGCCCCAATGTGTGTACTTAGATGACTCCTCTCTACTTGGGTGCTAAAATTCATCCTTAACTGGTCACATTATTGCAATTTTGCCATACGCTGGGATATGTTCTCCTTTCAAACAAAGCGATCATTTGTTTCTTTGACGGATCACCGTCGTCTTTGTCATATTCTTATTGAGATAAGAATGGGTAAAGAGAGACAATTGTCGACATCTTTTTCGTCGAATTACAGCCGTCTTCAACTAGATTCCAACTCGATCCACAATGCAACACAAGACCCAAAACCGCAAAACACAATTATCACAATTTTTTACTTTAATCATTTTGTTTCATAAAAAGTAAAAGAAAAAGAAAAGGAAAAAATAAGTAAAAGTTTTTTTCTTTCTTCTTTTTTTACTTTAGTGTTTTTTTTCTTTTATTTTTCTAAAATAAAATGATTAAAATAAAAAATTGTGATAATTATGTATTGCGTGTTTTGGGTCTTGTACTGCCTTGTGAATTGAGTTGAAATCCGGTTGGAGACAACTGTGGCTGGACGAAAAATAAATTGAGAAATATTCCTAACCACACTAGTTGAGAAGCTTCCGTTGTGTTGCCTTTGGATAAAATGAATTAGGTAGATTGTGCTTTGTAATGGGCTGGGTTGATTTTCAACAGAAACACCTTCAGCTCCCTACAAGGAACAAATAAATCATCGAAGTGGATTCAGTTATAGGTTATCCTTCAAACAAAATCAAAGAATCTGCCATCAATAATATCCACAGAAACATAGTTGTACAACCAAATATCAATATGATTATAAGGGATCGAGTGAAACACCGGATGAAATAAGAAGTTAGATTCCTCCCCTTCATTCATTCTGAAAATAAATCTACCAAGCTGCCTATCAAAATGATATTTTTTGTCTGCAAAACATAAATTAAAAGGATCATTATATACCTCTAATGCCTTAGTCACACTTGAAATTTTAGCTTCATTCAACATTCCATCTGCCTTTATACAATCAAGTTCGATAGTCAGTGACCTATTAATGAATAGTTCCAAGGGAATATATATTTGCAGACAAAGATACAACTTCAAGCAAAACTAGTCAATGAAACCGATTTCTGCTTAATTTCAAGAATTCAAACTCTATGCAATAAGTAATAGAAAGATGCACCCTAGTGGAGATTAAGTACTACTATGAAACAAGATATACATTTTTCCAGTATTCGGTATCAAAACATATAAGCAAAACCCAGAAAGAAGTTCAAAATCAAAGCATTATCTAAAGCAACCATTTGACAAATATAATAACAATTCCCCATTAGTTAAAGAAACATTCTAAGAGTGTCAGAAGGAGAGACGGGAACAGAAACAGAGCCTTGTTGCTCAGCAACAGCTGTTTCTTCTTCTTCAGCAGACTTGAGTTTCCAAGTCCCTTGACGAGTTTTGGAGGATAAGTTGTTGGACGAAAAGGAGCAAACTTTGGTCTGAAAATGGATGGAATTGGGATAAAAGGAGAGGTTTTCGGGAGATTTAAAAAGGGTGTTGGAGATTAAACGTAAAGGAGTTGAGAATGCGGAGAGCGTTGCCATTTTTTCCACCCTTAATTCTTCAAAATTCTGCTTTTGGATGAGAGTGAAGTGGAACAGAAAGGATTGAGTTGATGGTATTATCCGAATTCTGCTTCTCTTATGGTTATTGTTTTCTTTGTTGGGCTTTCTCTCTTCTTTCATTTCCATTTCAAGAAGGGCTTCGCTTCTCTCTGCATGTCTGGACCAAACTATCCGGTTTTTCTTTAGACCTTGAGACATTTTTATGCATTCGTACAAGTCCATATACATTATTATTATTATTATTATTATTATTATTATTATTATTAGGGCGTGGTTGAGGGTGTGCAAGGTGGGCAACCGCTTAGGGTCTCAAAATCGAATATATCTATCAGTTATTGTCATTAAGAAGCATAAAAATAGAGGCCCCAAAATTGAGTAATAAAAATAGCGGCCCCGAAATCGAATATATTTAAAAAATAGAGGCCTCTTTATAAGAATTTACATAGGACCCCCGACAACCTAACCACGGCCTTGATTATTATTACTACTTTTTAGTCTTAGTTAAACTCAGGTCAGGGGTGAGTGTCTGCTACAAATAGATTTATTAAGATATGTTTTTTAATTCAGTTTACTTTATTTATAATATAATTATTTAAATCTTAGACGTTATTTAAATGATTCATTTTACTAACCAATTAATAGTTGGGAATTCATTTTATCAACATATGAATATAATGAAATGAATCTTTCGGTTATGTTTAGAGTTAGGTCCCGTTTAATAATATGGTTTAAAATTACTTTTAGTTAAAAAAAAAGATCGTTTTGACGTAAAACTAATGTCAAATGATAAAAATTTAAAAAAGGGTTTTGCAATGCAAATGATGATTTCAAACTAAATCTCAAAAGTTAGTTTCTAGCTTTTTCATTCCAACTTTAAGTTTGAAAGTAAATTTATATTTTTACTCTTATTAATGTATGAACTCCAGTCAATTATATATTTTTATTTTATTTTAATAGTTTAATATAAACATAATCTAAAAATTAATTTATTTTAATTATTTAAAAATAAATAAAATTCATGATAATATATATAAATGAATGATGCAAATCGAGGACTTCTAGGAAAGTCATCCATCTTAGTACTATTCTCGTCCAAACACATTTAATGGTGAAGTTCTTATGAGATCCAGTGCATTGATGCTGATACGATCACACCCATTTGAACCTTAACCACTAGACTAACTTAAATTTATTCATGATGTATATATTAAAATATTAATAGTGTTTTATATAAAATATTTTTTTATTATCATTATATTTTTTTTATTTTTATTATGGTTTAAATTGATATAATTTATATATAATAATATTTTTTAATTTCTTATAATTAAGTGAAATTATAATTTAAATGTTATATTTTTAATTTACAACATAATATCTATAGTAGACATTTTATATTTTCAAACTCACATTTTAAAAGTAATCTCAAACAATTTACTTTTAAAATGCGCTTTTGAATACCATTTTTAAAATTTAATCTCTACATCATATTTAAAATTTACTTTTTAAAAATAATGTCAAAGTGGCCCTTAAATTATTTATTAGCACGGGACGAAATGATAATTCTATTATTTTCTAAAAAGCAATGAAGAAAATAAAGTTTTTTTCACGACTAATCAAATAATTCATCAAACAACTGCTACTGTTCTGTTAGAGGACGACTTTTTGAATACATCCAGCATGGCCCTTTAAAATTTTAATCCTTTATTACATATGTTTACTCATTCAACTTTCGTTTTCATCTATAAAGAAATACACCCGATATATATTTTTTAATTAGTTGTGCTTTTATTCAATGATTTGTAGTAGGTCGATTGTATAAAATATGATGTATTGTAATCTTTTGAAAGATTTAACTGACGAATTTAATCTATTTATTATAATTTATTCATTTTATATCGTCAGTATTTGAAGACACTAAATTTCATCATTCATTATATTATATAATATAGATTTATATTATAAATTATATTATATATCCATTTATATCTAATACATTTATTTACATTTTTTTCAGGCCCAATTGGTGCTCAAATACAATAGCAAGCCCACGCACGCAACCCAGCTGGAGCTAGGGTTTCCAGAAACCCTAGCAGCTTCCCTCTTTAGCGGCGCAATCCTTGCCTCACGAGTCCTCGCCACCCACGTTTCCCTCATCCGGTTTTCTCAGCGCCGTGAATTCCTCAACCTCACCAACGTCACGCATAAAGCAATAACAAATCACAAGAGAAGACAACAAGGATTAGGATTCTAGTTAAAATAGGATTCTAAGTGTAGTTTTTTGATTATAAATAAACATGTAATTCTCACGATAAGAGAGAGGTTTTTACAGAGAGAGATTACCCACAAAATCATACAAGAGACAGATAGACAATTACACAGCTTTCACGCGGGAACATCGAGAGAAATCAGGAGCCAGTCGAAGTAAACACAAGCATTTTGTAATCATTTTGTGAAGAAATAAAAGGGTACAAAAATCATACCTTTCTTTTTTTCGTCTTGCATGCATAGTTATTCCACATTTTGTTCGAATAGAACCCAAAAGAAGCGTTTTAGCCGATGAATAAGGGGTGTTTTCAGGATCTACTTCCGTAGATCTAGCCCCCGAGGCTTGATTTTTTTGAAAAAAAATTGTCTGGATTTTTGAAACGAGGAGGTGAAAAGCTACTGGAAAATAAAAAATTTCGTGATTTTGCCGCCGATGAACGACGGCCGTCGCCGTTCAACGGCGCCGGCGAGGCGGCTTGTGGCGGCTGATGACCGGTTTCTAGGAACCCACGGCCTCTGTTCTTGGAAGCTCAAGAACATCACAGAGAAAATGGAAAAGGGACGGCTCTGGCTTTTGGAAATGGACCAAATGAAAGTTTTTTAGTTCTTTTTTAGCATATGTACCAGCGTGTTTCAAATAAAATAGGGTAAACTACCCTTTTGGTCCCTCGCTGCTTTTAAAGAATTATTTTGACCCCGAATTTGCTTTTGAATTGGTCTCTAATTCTGATTTTCTTTCAATTTAGCCACTTAACTTGTTTTTGATTCAATTTAATACTTATACTAACCTTTTTTATTTATTCCATATCATGTAATTATATATATATATATATATACGTATTTTCTATATATTTCATCTATATACTTAGTGTTAATACATATATATTATTTTAATTAACTTTTTTGGTCATTTCTTTATCTAGCTACTGCATCTTATAATTTTATACGTTATATGTATTTTTTTTATTATTTACCAACCTTATTCATTTTATCTTATAATATATTTCTATTAACATTTTATTTTGTCGTATTTATGTATGTATATACATATATATATATATATTCATTTTACCTATTATTGATATTTTTCCTTTTTAATACTTTAATATATATATTTCTCGTTTCATTCATAATTATTTATTCCATTTTTATTTTATTTATTTCCCCCTTTTACTTTTACTATTATATTATTTATTTATTTATGCATTATATTATTTTTTATTATTATATACGTATATGTATTACTCATTTTTTTTACTTTTTATTTTTATATCTTTTATGTATTTTTTATATTCTAATATATATATATTTTATTTATTATTTTTCATTATTATTTCATTACTATTTTTACTATTATAACTGTTATTTTTATTATGTGTATATACGCATATTTTTCTTTTTTTCATTTTCATTGTTTTATATTTTTTTATTATGTGTATTTTTTTTATCCATTTATATTTTATTATATTTTCTTCTTTTTCTTTATTTGTATTTTCGTTTTTTTCCTTTGCATATTTTATTTTATATTTAGTCATATTTCATTCTTTCCTTTTTGTATACATTGTTTTTTTTGTATTATTTCGTTTGTTTCGCCTTATTTTTCTATTTTATTATTTTCATTACCTAACCTTTCCTTGGCTTTTTGAGAGAACTTCAAACAATCATGGTAAGCAATTTGGATCAATATTTTACCTTTTAATTTAACTTTCAATTTTCTTAATTAAAGACAACTGGAAATTACACAGTACCGAAAGGGCAGTTCAAGGGTGCTAGCCCTTCCTTGACTGTAACCGACTCCCGAATCCGACACATCTCTGGTAAGACGCAATCAGGTAAGAAATAGGTATCCGATCACCCATTTATTTTAAATAAATCGGTGGCGACTCCAATCCACATTTTCAAGTCGAAGCCAGTTCGGGCCCAACCGAAAGACGGTTGCGACAGCTTGGCGACTCCGCTGGGGACCACAGGTAAGCGAGTCAGGCTAAGGTATTTCCAGTTGTCTTTTTACGAAAATGGTAAGTTTAAATTTTAAGGTATATTTCGATCCTTTTACTTACTTTTGATTATATTTTCGAGTAAATAGTTGGACTAATCGTTTTCTCATGATTTCAGACTTCAAAGTTTTTTTTTTTTTCATCTAAGGCTCTATACCCGAGCTCCAATTCTATTTTAAGTGGGGTGAAAGCGACGCCTTCGTGTAATTTATTCACCGTGCGGGCCTAGCAAGTAGCCTTCGGGATTCATATACCTTATGTCTTCGTGTGAATTTATTCACCGTGCGGGCATAAGGGAATGTGTCCCCTCGAGTTTAACTTAGTCCACACAAGCCTGTGATGGGTTTAGGACTAAGGGTCTGCAAGCCCAAGGGGGCACCGACAAGGAGAACTCGGGTACCGTTTTTTAAAACCTAAACCGGAGACCATGAAGAATTAGAGCCTACCCCGAACCACGTTCCAAAACCTAGGATATTTTTACCCTAACCATGTTTTTTTTTGCGCTTTCTCCTTCCGTCATTTTTTATTTGTATTTTTATTTTACTAACGTTTTTTTGCCTTTGTGTTTGTTTTCTAGCGTTTGCATCATTACAAGAGGCTATTGATCCCTAAAAAGCGTTTGTTATACACAAAATAATTCGAATTAATGGACAAAGGTGTTGTAATACAAGAGATTGAAAACGCTGAGGCACGACTATGGGCCGAGAAGGCTCAGAAAGAGAAGAGACAGTCTTCAGGGAAACTGTGTCAGAACTGGTTATTATGCCGCTGTCAGCCTGAAACAGAATAATGTCCAAGAGCTGCGAAACATTTGGGACAGCTGGAAAAATGACAGAAGCAGAAGTTCAGCCAACGATGGTGATATCGCCCTCTTGCTCCATGTCAAGACTGATGAGCCCCTTACTCCGAGCATTAATTCAATTCTGGAACCCTAGATATAGTTGTTTCACCTTTAACCAGTAAGACATGGTGCCTACTATCGAAGAGTATACTACTCTACTGCACTGCGAAAGCATCAAACTAGAGAGGGCATATATTAAACATATCAAAGTCAGCCCTTCAAGAACGGACTGGCCAAGATTGCAGGGGTTGATGAAAAGTGGGTGACTGATCGACTCCGGCACAAAGGTAGCGGGAAGGAATCGAGTGGATCCATATAAAGCAACTAATGAAAACCACCCTGATGAGTGGAAGACTATAGACCTGTTTGCACTGGGTCTGTACGGTTTGATCATATTTCCGAAGGCTTTGGGGCATTGACGCTGCCGTGGTGGAACTATTTGAGCAACTTTCTAAACGAGTTAAACCCAGCACCAGCCATCTTGGCTGAGACCTTTCGATCGCTCAACCATTGCCGAAGAACTGGCGGAGGAAGATTCACCCGGGTGCATTCAGCTCCTTCAGGTCTGGATTCACAGCCACTTCTGGAAGACTGACGGGGTTGCCTACCGCCGTTTCAGCACCACCTATTCACCTCTAGGTGAATTTATTACCTTAAATGGCATGAGGCGCTTCAAAAGAAAATGGATGAAGGTCTTTACGCATCTTCAAGACCGAGATATGTCTGGAGAGCCCCTTGGTTATTCCTCAGTGATGTTCTTTTTCGATGTGGTGACTCCGACACTGTGACCTTACTTGGACTTTGGGGAGCATCGGGTATGCTCCGCTTTAGCACTTAGACAATATGGAGCACGTCAGTTTGTCCCAGCAACATGCGGGTTGGCTAGGTCAGAGTTTGAGTATCACGGCGACAGCTATAAAAAGATGATCAAAGAAGCAGCCGATTCGTGGAGGAAAGTATTCCGGATGGATGTTGTAGCTGCCAGAAGCATGCTCACTCCGGATTATGTGGAGTGGCGAAGATTAAGAAAGAATGACAACATCCCTGTGCCAGACTGTGATACACCCGGACCATGGAAGAACATCTCAGGCATGTCCCTTCTGAACTCGAGATAGCCAACCGAGTTGAAGCAGTGAATAATGATTGAAGCAAAGGATAAAGGAACTTAAAGCTGAACGTTATCAGTGGAAGCTTGATGCTGACTCTCAGAAAGATCGGGCAGAAAAATTGGAAAAAGAACAAAAAAGAGTCCGTTTTTGAGCTCGAAGACTTGAGAAAGGGTATCAAGATAAGGTCAAGGATAACTCCAAGTTGAAGGTAACCTCTGAATACTGGAAAGACGAAGCTCATAGCCTGAAAAGGAGTTTGAGGGGCCTGATGAAAGCTTGGAAAGAACAAATGAGACTGCCCAAAGACGCTTGGCAGATAGTCATATCAGAACCAGCGCTTGAGATTCGTAGCTGACTTAGAAAAAAACATGAAAGATGACAAGACAATAGCTGAGTTAGAAGCTATTGTAGATGGGTCAAGAGGCAAGCAAACGAGCTTCAGATAGTGCCTTTCGACGGAGGATTACAATGGCGTTTCCGTTGGGAACAAGCACAGCGAGGGTGAGGGCCCGAGACGCAACCATCCGAGATTTCCTGGATCAAGTGCAAAAAGCAGCCCGTCATCTTCACGGCCTAGCAAGGGAAGCTGGTGTGGTTCGACAAGGCATTCAACCAGTGACAGATGAAGGCTGAAGACTTGTCAAACTACTGGAAGTCGTTCGGGGTCTAGAGGATTTAGTCCGAATGTACCTTTAATCTGTTTTTATGTCTCTTAAAAGATAAGACATTTTTGTCTGAACAAGGGTTATTTATAATATGAACACTTTTCTGGATCAATGCCTCCATTGCATACATCATGCATTGCATTTTGCATTTTATATTTCATGTCTGTTTTTATTGTTTTTTTTCCATTTTTTTACATTCGTATTAACTAACAAACATGTCTCAGACACCGAGCTTACCACCACAGCACAGATACACATCACCCTCACAATACCGAGCAAAAAAGAGACAAATGGAAGCCAGAATGGAGAAGATCAAGAGCACATGGCAGACTTCAAAAGGAACTAGAAGATAATGGCTCAGAACAGTGAAAGTACTCTTGAGTCCATCAAGAAAATCAGGAGTCCTTGGTCGACCAAAT